CATTCAGAGTCTCAATTCGTGTTATCCTCTGGTCTCAGCCAATGGAATAGATATAGAGAAAAAGGACTGGCTTATTATATCTACCAAGACCTTAACGCTTTATGCTGTTGGGTATTGCTTGCTACGAAACGACTTCAATCCACATCCTCACATGCGTGTAAACGTAAGTTATAGCATAATTGGCGCCTAGTACTTTGCATTTCAGAAATTTGACCCCCAATCAGATTTGTCGGGCCACTGGGTGCGAAGTATGTTCGGCTCGTAGATGCACATTTTGATAATGGTTTACATCCCCCTCTATCTGAATAGGTTGGTTTAACAGCCATATTCAGGAAGCTGGGCCTTAAAGAGTCATCATTTATGTCGATTTAATCTCCACTCTAAACTCTGCTTATCCACCCTATTTTCTGACTGTATTGTGGTATTGGAACAAGCTATCGCCTGCGCGCAAAGCTCAGGCCTATCGGCCATTAGCCTTCCATCCTAATCAGACTAGTCGGTAGCGAAATAAAACAAGCAAACCCACTCTCGACAGACGCGAAGTAATCGGAGTAAAACCCCATGATCTTTTTGTGGACAGCAGCTTGCAAGGTCCATTTGCCAACCAATCCCGTATATATATGATACTAAATAATAAAGGTGTGTTGTCATGAGGATTGGCTAGTACAATTAGATCGTCGGACGTCTGGATCAACTACATTTGAGGCTGGGATGTCTGAGCTAGCATGTTAAAAAACAGTCTGCCCACACCAAATGAAATGTGTTATTTTACTGAAAGAAAGAAGTGTGAGAGTTGGGGCGCACTCTAGCACTGGAGTCGAATACTTTGGCTTGCTACCATCAACTCTGACACTTACGGATGAGTCTTACTGAGGAATTCGAATCGGCCTTGATATGTGCCTGACTAGCCTGGAATCTTTCGACACTGTCCGAATCAGACAATTTTGCTATGCATTAGGCTCGGAACTAGACTCCCCTCTGCTGAATGCATTTTCAGGACCTGTCTGTAATTTGGCATTAGGTTCCTAGTTGATAATCCAAACTATAAGCTACAATGAGGCTGGATCCATTCAAGCAAAGCGTCAATTCTTAAAATGTTTACTAGTAAACTACCTCATTGGTGTTTCGATAGCATTATGTGGCAGATTCTCATTCTAGTAATTACTTATGCTAAGTCACTTATTCCTATAATCTTTTAATAGACTATTTCCATTTTATTAGACTTGAGAAAGGTTATCCCAAAAGCCCTTATTATTTTTATCCTTAAAATAGATTTCCTCCCGTTAAAGAGGTTTGGATTATCCACTTAATTATTCTTATAAACGTTTAAAAGTATTTCAAGTCTGATGGAAAGTTGCGTGCCACAATAATGATTTCAATTGTTTTAAGGTTAATCTTTCTTAAGATTACTTGAACCATTCCCAACGTGTATGGGCTGACATTCAAATTCATATTTTACTCTTGCGAAATTTTCTGTCCAAAAAGTACGGCTTGATTTCGCCAAGCCGCCGTTGTCACTTTAAAAGTAGGATTCAAACTCGGGAGACAAATTCAACTGCCAGTTCCCTTATCACCTCAAACTATGGTGCAAGCACTTCATATAAAATTTAAATACGCATTTTCTTCCTACCATGTACCGCCTTCACGAATAAGCTACAAGGAATTTGTAAGATAAAGGGCAAAATAAAAAAAGTGACGAGATTCAGATCTTCCCTTTATCATGAAATATCTCATTTCCAGTATCATCCAGAGCGTTGTGTATTTTTGATATTTAATGCCAATTCTAATATAAGATCTTCTATTATAACCGACCTATGGATTCCATCTTGAAAATTATCCTTTTGAGATAATCTTTTGCATGACAATAGTTTATACCTACCTATTTTCTCCAGTGCATAGCAAATATTATCTCAATAGGATCAATGCAAGAACAATTGATGGTCGTATTTATTTTTTAGTTGATTTTATTTTTCAGGAGTAAACTTTGCTAGCCTTTCTATTTCAAACCTTAAAGATCCGATGATAGTGCGAATACTCTAACTCCATCGACGACCCTTTCAAGACAATAAATAGCGGCATCTCTGTGTGATCCCTTGGCATTAACACTTAAAGCTCCTCTTCTCGCCTTTTGCGTTTGAGCACTGATGTTTAACCTATCTACATGTCTGGAAATATGTACTCTGACATATTTATAGGGTTTGGATTATAATTGTATACAGGGTATCAAAATATTATATCTTTTGGCCCTCTATGGTACTGATAAATGCTTTGGTGGCAGTGTCATAATCTGGAATTTTATCTTTGTGAATAGCATTTATAACTCACTCCACAGCTTGTCGGTAGAAGCATTGCCTCATCGCACGTTCACGGTTGGTTGGTTCCGAAAGATGGAAGGTAGTTCGACAGTGGCCCTTATCCACAAAGATAGTGCGACGTGAGTCGGAAAGGTATTTGTCACCTTCCCATTCCACGTATGATCGTCCTAAATTCGGTTCGTAAGAATGTTTATTTCAATAACAAATTAGTGAAGAAGAAATAAAATAGTTAAAAAACTTGGGGATGTTATGCGGAGTTTGTTCTAGTGAAACCTACTAGTATTTTGTCGAAAAATCTTGGGCAAAAATTATAATATTATTTCGTGCAGGCGTATTATACTTTGTCCAGGAATATACGCGTGTTCATTAAAGGGTTGGACTCGATTAAATTGTGCTCGTTATGCTTATTAGTGAAACTCGCTGAAAAGCATAAAGAATAAACTTAAGCCTGATCCGTTAATGGTTATGCAAGCACGTATAGGAAATAAATCTGTCCCAGCATATAACAAAAGAATTTGCATCAAACAGAACCTTTACCCAAACTAAAAGCTACATGAATACAAACTATATTTTGTCTTATTAGCACATTTGGCTCTTTTTATATGCTTACGGAGTTTTGCGGCGCCAGGATGAACGTAAACCGACAAGCCACTAGAGCCAGCTATCCTTAAATTAATAACTTTTTAGTTTTCCTTGTTCTGCCTCTTGATACTATTGCCGGCAGTTTCATGGAGATGTTTGAGATTATTAGACTTTTCAGTAACAACCGGTTCCTACACAACTTTATAATCCAATCTTATTGAAGATGTCCTTTTTCCTTATTCAGCACGTGGAAATATATTTCTCTTACACCGTGCGGCTTGTCATTAGACTTATATATTATTAGAGAGCTTGCAATAGTTATACATTATGCACCCTACCGCTAAGTCATAATTCTTTATGAGCATTTAAATAGTGTAGAAAGCTAACCAGAAAGGAGACTTCCTCAGAGCAAGGGGCCCTGGTAGCATTTTTGAAATTGGATATGAGGGATATTTTTGCTTCTCATATGATCTTCTCAGAGTGTCACTTAGCTTGGAATATTCCTTGTCTTTGAATATATGCTGATCACTGGGCCTAATTAAGCAGCCTACATGAGTCACACTGTATTAGTCAGGCGAATTCATCATGTAAATGCATATGAATATATAAACTTGAATTTACTACGGAAAGAAGCTATTAGGAAAGCTTGAATCAGAACATCAGGCAAGTCTCGCGAGGCTTTACTTGTTTCTATCACCTTATTATTTAACAAATTTGTGCATACTCACTTTTATACATGATTAATTATCAAACTAACAGGGACCACAAAAGGCTATTTGCAGTGACCAAATTTGGGATATGGCCCGTGGGCCGATTTGTTCTGCGATCATGGATCAGCTTCCAATATATTCCATAAAGAGGAGGATTTAAATTCAGGACAAGATACTAAAGTCATAGTTTGAAGGTCTGGCGAAGGAACTGAACACTCGCTCACACGCAATTCCTATCCTGCAATGTTCAGCTTTTTTTTCATACAGCGTATTTATGGTGCGAATAAATTATTTTAAAATATCATAGCTATCTTTTTAGCTTGTTCGCTCTTTGGAATAATTAAGTGGAGAACCGAAAAATTCGTGCAAATTCTTTAGTGCTTGCCGTATAGGTTGGAGAGCCTTATTGGAAGTACTTCTCTATATGAGTAAATCCATTCTTCTATAACTCATATTTTTCGTTTTTAAGCAGGTTTTCGAGACGCATCTCATAGAACTGTCATAACTTACCGAAATTGTCGAACTTCACTTCCAGTTGGTAAGACCTGCTGACGCCATGATGAAGGTGGACATGCTGATGGGGAAAATGGTCATCGTGGTGATAGTGCACGTAATGATAGCCATTAGCACTGTAAGAGAATAGCTGAGTAAAGGCTATCAGGAGAAGAAAGTACCAAGAAAAAATGGGCGCCATCATGCCAGAACAAAAGAAGACGGTTGGTGCCTGATTAGGAGGGCCGATCAAAGTGGAAAAACATTCTAAGCAAATTAGCTTCCCATTTATAGCTACTATTCTTGCTAGGCAAACGGAGAAAAGGGATTCGCATAAAACCGCAATTTCCTCAGAGGCTAAATGTGCAAGGGCCTAGTGCATGCAACTAGAGTAGGCTTACATGCAAAGAAGTCGAGTGAGAATACAAAGAAGCACTCCATAATGGAATAAGGGGAAAGGGATACAAAATATTCTGGTTTGGGTACAGGACTTAACCGAGCCAACTTAGCCTTGTCCTTGTTTTTACGCAGTTGAAACGTTTTGAAAGTTCGGCTCGACCTTGTCAGGACGGCCAGGTCACCTAATCATTTAGTGGCCCAACAAATGGATTGCTTAACCAAATAAAGCAAGGAAGAGCATATGTTTAAAGATATGCTGAGAACTTTTGTACTCCTGCCCCGTTTCAATTCTACCTCGCCGTAATTTCGACCTGCGATCAGTCCAGGGTAAGTACATTCCGGGTAAGAGGAAGAAGTCGAATAACGAAAGCATTTATTTCTAAGCCAGAAGTTGACTGCTAATACTTGGAAGCATAGTTCTAAAAGTAATAAAAGTTTAATGTTTGGGCTCTTGGATCTCGAAGGTAAGTGTTGTATTCATGTTGCTTCGTTGAAGGCCCACAACAGCATATAATGTGATGATATTGTAAGAGAATCCCTCGGATCATCTAGGTGAAACAATTTGTTTCACGTGAAATGTAAATTCGAAATATTTATACTTTTAATTGAATTATGCTGAGCTAAAACCGTTCTCAAAGCTTGATTATCCAAGCAAGGAGACTTTCACAAACGTATCTTAGACTGTGCTCTTTCCCCATCGGATCGTTGAACAAGAGTAGTTTAAAGCAGTCTCTTTACATCCTCACCAACGATAACGAGGCCTGAAATCAAATTACAACACATCGTATTTACGTTCTGTAATCCTATAGTCAAAGGCTTTAGCATCAACCGCAATTGATACATCCGTTGCTTCTGTCCACTAATCTTGTCCACATTGCAAAATAAGGTTGACTATTAAAAAATCTTGCTTGAAACAATAACAAATCTTCTGGGAGACAAGTATTAAACGCATTGGGCTTATTTCTAGAATTTCTTCTACTAAATTTAAAGTAACAGTCTTCTTGCAAAATAATGTTTTTATTAACGTTTTCTACGAGAACCATGCTTTGCAAAATAAAGCAGAGGACCATAAGTGAATTTATATCAAAATATGGCTATTTTGATATTCTTTACCTTTATGGGGACTGATAACTCTTGCCAAAATTAGTGTAAGAATATACTAAAAAACAGTATAGAAGAAGACACATTAATGTAGGTTGGAAAATGGTTATGTAGAAAACTAGGTTTCGAATGATCCCTTAGAAGTTTCGTGTTGGAGTACCCTTCATTTCGTTTGAATAGGCGAGTGGAAGAGATTCGTAAATAGGTTCCACCGGAGGCTGCGAAGGGAGGTCTGCCTTGTAGCTCAGCAAAGATTCAGCAGGGTCCCAGGGCGGTGCGCCGAGGGCCTATTCGCACAAATCTACAACCACAGCTCCAAGGCAACCCCCCCACAGCCTCCGGTGGAACCAACTTACGAATCCCTTCCGCTCGCCTATTCAAACGAAATTAAAGCTACTGCAACAAGAAAATGTTTAGGCCAACCCTCACCTTCCATGGCAGATGCGGAAAATCAGATAGAGGAAGGGCTAAAGCGTATGAATATATAATTTCATTGCCAAAGGCTATAGACGATTACAACTCAAAAGAGGAGATAAATAAATGCGCCTTGGTCTTTTGGGATTAATCGTACCTATATGATGCTAAAGCAAAGATATTGAGCATACAAAATTCCAAACACTCTAGCGTTAAGTAAGTTATTCTAAGAGTGATGGACGTTTTATATCGATTGTTTTGTTAGGCACTGTTAGTCTCTGATCAAGTTGACTCAATCTATTGTATGACTAAAGTGATCAAATTAGCTGTCATTGCCTAACATAGACATAGAATAAATTGGGGTTCTATTTTCCATAGGTCGCATAAGGGTAGGAAGGACTGCTAGTTGAATTTTTTGTAAATAGGAGTAGGTGACACGGATGGATTTTACTTACTCTTATCCACCAAAAGGTTCTCTTATCCAGGTTGGGCTGCAGCAAAGAGGAATCGAACCAGAGTTGTTCAATGAATATTTTCGACATTTTGTCACTACGCCACACTACCATGGGCGTCAATGGGTCACCAGACAGACTTTACCTTCAAGGCAAGCCAGACTTTCCTCATATCACAATTTAAGTAAGATTTTTCGTTTATGTAGGTTTTCGAGTGAGATTGTCAATTGGTAAATCTTGCATTAAGCCATTACAAGCGAATACTTTAATTATATTCATATCAAGTAGGTTTTTTGATTATCACTAAAATGATTAAACTCACTTTCATTTCGAGTGAAAGGACATGAGTGAGGGATTCGAAAGCCAAAACCACCGGAAGAAGACGACGGATTCCTCTTGACCAGTAGTCGATTGGCTTTACCCAACCAATCTTGATGATTCTGTCCCTGAGGCAATCTCTTTCGATTTCAGTGAAAATATGTTGAGCTTCTTCTGTGACGGACATCAGCGGGATGATTCTTTCAATCATAATCAAGCCAAGCAGTTAGCTTAGCACATTTGAGCTAGAATCTACCGAGATTGTCTCGGTAACAGCTTCAGCAAACGTGTTCTAGCCAGACCAACCTACAATGGCAGAGATATATCCACCGTCGTCTTATGATTTGATCGATCCTCAAATATCTTCGCTAAAATGAACGTAAGCCGAACAATTGTAAACCAATAGATTTCCCGAAGACCAACTTTTATTTGAGTATACTATCAGCAGATTTTGAGTAAAACTTCTAGTCAGCCTATGCCACATAAAGTGATAAAGTATTGATAGTTTTATTTTCTCACTGCAAATGTAATAAGGTAAGGTTTTAGCCTATCTTAAAACTCTCGTTTACCCTGTGACTAACTGATGTCCGTGCCAATATGGCATACTGGTAAAATGTTGAAAATATACGCTGCGCAACTCGGTTGTTTGAAAACTCAACTTTAATTCCATTTTCACCCTATGCGACATAGGATGACTAGAAATCTTGCTTACTAGATAATCCTGATTTTGTACGCTATGACAACTACTTGTCTACAAAATTTCAGCACAACTTTTAAATACTGGGCTTAAAGGGGCTGCAAAAGCGTTTATTACGAAAAAGAGCGTGAAGAACAACATTTTAATGCGGTAAATGGAATAGAGCTAGTCTAGGATTGTTTACAAATCCTATTATCCTGATTCGACATTCTTGCCATATTTACAGCACCTGTTAAACATATATTCGTATCTATAGTCCACATTATTTGTCAATTGTTGCCGACCTAAATGTCCATAACGAAGATAGAAAAAGTTTGAAAATTTTTCCAGTTGTTGTTAGTTCATTAGACAAGAAACTAAAAATAACTTACAATCCACTATTTTTTATAAATTTCAGAATAGGCAATATATCCCTGTCAAACGCTAGGGCTTAGTGGACACCTTCAAATAACTAAGATAATGGAAAAAGCAGACTATTTTGGCTTTTAGTTAGCTGGGTTTTTATAGCAGCAATAGCGCGATGTAGCAGTAATCATAAATAAATAGATAGATAGCTAGATAAAGAGATAGCCTAACCATCACTCCGATTGGCAAAGTCGGACACGCGTCTAATGATGAGCTTTTTACCACCATACAAGAGATCTGTATAAAGTTAACTTAGTAGACAGGTTTGAATGACCTGTGTTAAATTTAATTTTATCGCATTAAGTATTGTTTCGAGACTACCAGTAAATCAGTAATATGAGATGTATTCACCCAATTTCGTTTA